GCGACATCAAAAAAGTTGAAGGAAACCATCCCTACCACATTTCATGTTACACAAGAAACGTGATCGTACTGGTATTACTTATGTATGTGTCAACTAAAGATTAGCATTTTTGGCAATACATGATCTAATTATAGAATCTAATTGACAATAGATTAAAATCAAAAAGATACTGCATATGCATGCGTTTAGTATTCTAATTACAGTGAAAAAATTCCATTGTTGATATATGTCTTTATTTTATGCAACCAATAACTTCTCTACTACACTACAGGAAATAAACAGTCAAAATAAGTACTAAATACTGAAAAAAACGCTTCCAATATTTTAGCAAATGAGTTCTATAAAATATTTGGTGATCAGAGATGAAGAAAAAGAAAGTCAAGGCAATGATATTAACGTATCCAGAATTCATATTGATGTTAAAAAGATGCTACCAATTTACCTTGCATTAAGGATGATAAAACTATAATTCTTATTGCAATTTTTGGTCTGGAAAGGCAATTAAATTGTCAATTTAAAATTTAATGTCTTATTGCGAGGATAGGAAAATCAATGCTAATGAATATCTTGGAGGTGTGAATAATTATGAAAGCGAAATTTTCACGGCTTCTTCTGCTACAGATCTAGTTACAACGGGAGTTGACATTTCTGAGACATTTATATCGATTAAAGAATTCTCAAAGTTAATGATAACCTGGAGATTGATAGTGATTCCTTAGTTGGATTTGTTAATACAGAAGGACAAGGCAATAAGTTCATTACAACTCCATTTGACATTACAATTGATATAACAAAATTTCTTAGATATTTCTTAAATAACGATGAAGATTTTCTCTCCTATCCTTATTACTTCAAAAATTATAATTTTTTGGTGGTCTGGAATGTTTCTAGTAAAGGTAATGCTTAACAGTTTGGGTGTAATGATAAAATCAGCATATCGAATCACAAAAGAAGCTCAAAATCAAGATGCTCAAAATCAAGACATTCAAAATCAAGATGCTCAAAACCAAGACAATCAAAACCACAGCACTCAAAATCAAGTAAGTTATAAAATTTCATTTTTTCAATGTGATAAGATGTAATTAAAGCTTGTATTTTTATATTACATAGAATCAAAATGCAAAACTATATGGCTATCTCCTTATTATTTTCTGTTTCTGGAATAATAATAATCATAGTACATTAGATGACATTAAAAAAGCTACTGTTAGAGCCTTAGAAGAGCCATAAAAATAAAAACAAAGAGCACAATACTATTCATAAACTATTGAATGACTCTTTTGAAAGTATATGATGTATGAAATTCATTCTTTTATAATTTAATTTGCAAATTGAAATTATTTAAAATGCAATGTATTTTCGCTTTTTTCGTTAAGTGACTTGAGTCAAAGCTGAGAAAAATTGTTCTTTGAAGATTTTAATGAAAACTGGAAGCAATATTTAAAGAGATGCGTAAAAAATTTCTGAACAATTAAATGTTAATAAATTAAATCATGGTACTGGTATATGATTGTTATTAAATTTCCCATTTATATAATTTTTTTTTTAACTTAAAATATTATATAGGAAAACTATGTACTGGCCAGGACATTGCAGATTTTACTAATGAATTGTGCAAGACATTCAATAACTCGGAAACATGTACAATTACTTTAATCTTCGAGAGAATACAAATTGCTTGTGCTCAGACATTGGTTAAAAATTCACAGAATGAATTCCACAAACTTGTTAATAATATGAATCCTCAATATAGAGTAAAGGTTGCCACTTTCAAAATTAATTCTTACAAAATCTCTTAAAGAGCTGACTAAACCATTATGATGTAATTTTAATAACAAGATTAAGGATTCATCAAAAGGTTTTGTACAGACACACTGAGAAAATCTTAAAAATTTTTGTAGAGAAATAAAATAGCAACTTATAGAGCAAAGTGAAGATGCTCATGATAAGAAATTAGCCAAAGATATACAAAGATTTTTACATACAGTCATATCTGAGTTATATCTCCACTGGGTTATATCCCAACCTAAGTTATATCCCCATATTTAAGCAGAATAAATTTCCTTTTTTTATATATTTTTATATGTTTTATATATTGAGTTATATCCCTGCCTTAGTTATATCTCCAAAAATGTTCTGAAAAAAAAATGATATAACCCAGGTAAGACTATACTTATTAATAATATAAAGTAGAGGAATGCAATAATGTTGGCATTGATGCATATTTATACGAAGAACTAGAGACTTTGAAAAATATTGAAATTGGAGAACTCTTTTGATAAAATAGCAAATAAACTTGCAAAACTTATTGCATCAGTCCACTCAATAGTGGATAGAATTAAATTAAAGTTTGTAACTATAACTATAGAAGTACAAACTTTTGAGGATCAAGTTAATGAATCGGTATCTAAAATAACATTGTCACTTCCCAACCATTGTGAAGCAATTTTTATAATATTGTCAAGATTTTCCAAAAGATCTTGTACAATAGCATCGAGATTTTTTGCAGAGTATGGAATAATATCTAATGGTAAAAAAACGAAATTACTCATGCCAAGATATTAGGCAAAAATGTATATAATGATTTTTGTACACTTGTTAATAATATGAATCCTCAATATAAAGTAGAGAGATATAACGATAAAGACATTTATATGAAGAGCTCAAAAATTTATAAGAAAATTGGAATTAGAAAAATTTTTTGATAAAATAGCAAATGAAATTTATGAAACTTATAACTATAAAAGCGAAATATTTAAGGATCCAATTAATAAATCTGTATCTAAAATAATATTGTCACTTTCAGCATCAGTCTTTACAAAGTCCTTTATAGAGCTGATTAAACCATTGTGATGTAATTTTAATGACAAGATTAAGAATTTGCCAAAAGGTTTTGTATAGTAACATCAAGAAAATCTTAAAAAATTTTGTGAAAAAATAGAACAGCAACTTATAGAGTAAAATAAATTCATTTATACTAAGAAATGAGCCAAATATGCACTGAATAATTTCCGCACACTTGTTAGTAATATGTATCCTTTATATAAAGTAGAGTGATGCTATAATGTGGCAATGATGAATATTTATACGAAGAACGCAAAAATTGGAATCAGAAAATCTTTCTGATAACATAGCAAATTAAACTTATGAAATTTATAGTAAATCAGCCCACCTAATAGTGAATAAGATTAAATAAAAAATTGCAAATATGATTATAGAAGTGCAAAAATTTCAGGATAATCTGTATCTAACATAGCATTGCCACTTTCAAATCGAATTTTATTAATCCTTGTAGTACAATTATAAAATAATATAGTTAAAGATTTGCCGAAAAGTTTTATACAGCAACATCAAGAAAACCTCGAAAATTTTTATATCTCATAGTGAAAAACAAAGAGAAAATTGATGAAATTATTTCGGTTGCACAAAAAAAGCTTAGAAAAGTTAGCCCAAAAATTAAACAATCGAATACCAAATAAGGATGAGAAGTTTAAGTCTGAATAGTCTGTTTATTTAAGCAAAACAAGGAAATGTATTTTAGTCTAGATGTTTTCATGATGATATAAATTTAACATTTCCAGAAGATTTGTATCTAAAATCATCAAATTCAATTTGGGAAGAGTTAAGAGCAAATAATAGTAATGCTTTGGAAAATAAAGCTGATGCATTTCTCGAATGTGCTGGAATGCTGCTTAAAAGAAATCTTGTTACTAATTTACCAGTCAATAATAAAAAGGTGTTTAATAACACAGAAATTTAACAATATTTTCAGGAAAAATTATTAAAAATCTTATATAAGGCCACGCAAAGTTAATTTTTCGTTTTGCATTACATGGTATTCAAAATTTCAGTTGGCGGTCGGATTTTTTTTTTTTTTTTTTATCTAAATTAATAGACTTATTTACATCTAATTCATGACTTTTCATAGAGCCAGAGTCTT